GTTACTACTATGCCATGTGTCTTCTAAACTATTATTTTCAACAAGATCTGTATGTGTGTGTGTGCACACACGCGTGTGTGCCTGTGCATGCGCACATGCATATACTCACCCATATGAATGCAGGCACCCTAGAAGGGGCAGAGGCAGTAGATTCCCCTGAAACTAGAGTGATGGGTGGTTGCAAACTGCCCAAAGAAGGTGCTGGACACTGGACTCAGGCAAGAACAGTATGCACTCTTAATCACTGAGCTTTATTTCCAGCCCCATACTATATTTCTTAATATGTAGGCTATAAAACAAGATTTAAAAATTGTAAGCATACCAAGGAAAACGCAACCCTTAGACACTGTTGGTAGGGCTGAAAACATAGGGTCATGACAGAAAATAGTATCAAGTTTCTTCAAAATGTAACGAATTACTGCATGACCCACAATTAATTCCATTTCTGTATACATGGCCAAAGAAATGAAGTCACCACTCGGAAGAGCACCTACTCTCTCGTGTTTACTGTAGGGTTATTTATGACAGCAAAAAGGTGGAAACATCCTAAGTGTCCGTTAGCGGCTAAGCAGATGAAGGAACTTGACATATACACGTGACTGTTACTCCGCAGAAGGAATCCAGGCATCTTTAACAATATGCATGAACCGAGAGTCCATTACACTAAGTGAAATAATCAAAATGCAAACAGAAAAACATTTCAGACCTAGAAGAGCAAAGGTCACATTTTCTCTCTCACTGGATCATAGCTTTGAAATTTCAGATTTATATGTTTACTTGGAATGTTTACAGCAACCAGGAAACTATAAAAGGGCTAGGGTAGGGTTTGGATTCTTCCACACATGTATAACCAGAGGGTAATTCTGGAGGTAGTAAGGTATAAATGGGAGGGGCATAGGGAAGAGGATGGGGAGAGGGTTAGTTAAAACTAAAGACATATGAAGAAGTCATAAGGAATTCTACTACTCTGTAAGCTAATTTTAAAGATACAGTTGTTCTTTTTGTTGTTGTTAAGTTTGAACAGAAATACCCTGCATGGGTGGATAATGTTAATCCCAGAAGACAGGGTGATCAAATGAAAGTCCCAGATCCAGGGGTGGGATACCTTTCTATATGAGTTGCTGGTCAGGATGGTTCCAGAGACCTCTCAAAGCATAGGCCATTGCCATCGCTCTTGGTCACCTACCATAACTAGACAGTAAGCCCCCTGCAAAGACCACACCTGGCACTAAACTGGAAGCTTCCTCCCTGCTATGTAGGCAGCTGGGGGAGAGAAGTCAGCACTGATCTTACCCAGTGCATACCAGACAACACCTTGCTTGTGCTCACTGCTATAATAGTGGAATGACTCTTGGAGTAACCAGTCACTTTCTGCTTTGTTTTGGACCTGCTCCTTAGGAGAGAATTCCTGGCACTGTAAACTTGATCAAAAACTGGAGACATCATAGAATTTACTACTGTTGTTTTGACAGATGGATGTGGTATTAAACTGCCTTCTGTAGTAGTCAGGGTTCTCTAGAGGAACAGAACTTATAGGATAAAAATATGCCAGTTGGGGGTGGTGTCCACCTTTAGTCCTAGCACTTAGGAGACAGAGGCAGGTGAAGCTGAGTTCAAAGACTGAACCACAGTATGGACTACAGAGTAAGTTCCAGGACATCCAGGGCTACACAGGAACCCCTGTCTTGAAAAACCAAAAAATTAAAAAATATATAATTATATATACATATATATATACACACCTATATACATGTATGTATGTATAGGGGATTTATTAGAATGGCTTAAAGTCTATGGTCCAGCTAGTCCAGCAATGGCTATCTACCAATGGAAGAATGGAAGGCCCAAGAATCCAATAGTTGCTCAGTCCACAAGGGTAGATGTCTTAGTCTTCAGTATATGCCAGAATCCTGGAGTAGGCTCCAATACCGGTGAAGGAATGAACTTGTCAGTCAGAGCAAGGAAGCAGAGAGGGCCAGCCTCCTCCTTCCATGTCCTTTATATGCACCACCAGCAGAAAGTTCATCTTCCCAATTCAAAAGATCTGGAACACAGGTGTATCTTCCCAATTCAAAGATTAGGATTAGAAGTGGGTCTTCCAATGTCAAATGATTTAACTAAGAAAATCCCTCACAGGTGTGCCCAGCCATATGGGTTTTAGTTATGTAGTCAAGTTGACACCCAAGAATAGTCATCATACTTCTAAATATTTGTGCTTAGTAAAGTGCTTCTCTCAGAGAGGCCCGCCCCCAGCCTCCTGTCCCTGGAAAATGGCAGGCAATGAAGAGGTTTATGAGAAAAAGTGACTGTTAAGTGCTCAGCCCTAAATGAGACATCTCTGTACCACCCTTCAAAGCTCAGGGAACATCACAGAAGTGGGTGTGGAAGGAATGTAAGCATCAGATGTCAGGGAGGAGGGATGTGGAATGTTGTCTTCTGGGTATGACCCAGCCACCGCACTCATGAACTCACAGAAACCGTGGAGGCTGGCACTGGGCCTGTCAACATTCAGTCACGGGTGGAGAAGGCGCTCCCAGGCCCTATTTCTCCCTGAGGAAATACTGCCCGTCAACAGATGCCGGGGAGGGGTCAGTTAATGTCTTCAGTGGTGTAGCCACTGGTGAGCCTCTGATGCTCCACACCCATGCTCATACCACAGGCCATGGTGAGACTAAGTAGGTCACAAAGCAAAAGAAAGTAGTATTAAAGTGGGAGGGACTTATAAGGAGGGTAGGAGGATGATGAAGTATGAGGTAGATAAGGGGTCAGGAGTTACTGTAATCAGAATGTACTATATACACAGACCAAATGTCAAAGAATACATTTAATAAAAAGGACTGATACACTAGAGGTGAGGCTTCAGGGTGACTAGCTGTCGGTGGTGGAGGGAGTAGCAGCAAGAATCCCAGTGCTTAGGTCCAGAAACCACTGCCTAGAGCTAAGGAATCCTGGCTTCCAGAACCTACACAAAGCTCTTAACACTTGTCCAGGATTAAGGGTACCAGCATCAGAGCCCTATACAAAGACTCTAACACTAGAGGGCGCCATCTGCTCCTGCTGCTCCTTCTGTAAACTGCTCTGCTTGCTGCCATCAAACACTGGGTGACACATGGAAGGACTTTTTATTTATGCAAGATTTGCACTCCCATAGAATAAAAAACCCCGGCCAGCTGATTAGTTACTTTCTACACACACGCAGTGTGTACACTCACACACATGCATGGAATCTCTACCTATTATAAGATACTGCTGCGAGTATTAAAGCAGCTATAAATAAATGGGGAGTTAAAATGCGTTCGTAGGTTGGAACACTCAACAGCAGCAAGTAAATTCTTCCCAAATTGATTTACAAATTCAGAGCAGCTCTAAACAAAACCTAGCAGGCATTCTGATAGGAAAGCTCATTCCAAAATTCACAAGGAAATGCAAATAACAAAACAGTCAAAACAACTTTGAAAAGAACACTGAGGAATTAAAAATATGATTGAAATTATGCATTACTGCAACCTGCATCAAATAACTGCAGGGCTAGAGCTCCTCTTACATTTCTTAGCAGGGGTTGGTTTGAATTTGGTAAGTCTGGTTTTGTAACTTCAGTGAAAAAAATCACTCCATATATGATAGAAAGAAACCTGACTAGATTTTAACAACCCCTGTAAAATGGCAGATGAATAGAAAGCATGAGGTGGTGCCCCACATCTGAGGAAATCACACTGCATTGATACCACCATTGAGCAAGACGCATGACTGACAGGGTGAACTAGCCAGGTATCTCTCAGAAGCAAGGCTACCAGCTAGAGTAGTCGTCATAGCAGCCACAGAAGCCTAATCTCACACAATGGACACTAGCTCTTAGGGTAGCAGGTAAAGCTACACATGCTGTGACTTTTAAAGGCACAGAGAATGCAAAGCTAGCTTTGCTGATCTCCTCACATTCACTGATGGCACTGTATTTCATTTAAATGGAAAAAACACACTTATGTGGGATCCTGCCTTTGTATTATAACAGAACTTGGAAGGGACTATGTAGAAGTTAAGGTCTTTAAATACACTTGGCCTGTTTGCTTATTATGTTTCTCCTCATTAGAGTGATACTCCACAGTGACAGGACTTTGTCTATGCTGTATGCTCTGATATTCCCAGCCTCCTCCAACAACAAAAAAGTAAACTAACTGCAGAATAAATATTTGTTAAATGAATAAATTATATCCATGTAAATATCTGTTACATGAATTTATGACATCTATATAGGCACTATGCCCAGGAAATAATGTAACAATCTCATGTAACCTTCTCTAAATAAATTTTTTGATCATATTAAGAGTTAATTGTCTTTTCTTTATTCATACTGTTCATACTACACAGAACCCCAACTTCCCAGCAAAGTGATAAGTGACTGGATAATTCCCACCCCCCTCTTTGTTCTCACTGGTCTCTAACTCTCTGTGTAGACCAGCCTCAGGCTGCCTTCCAGTCTACAGCAATTCTCCTGCCTCTGTCTCCTGAATTTCCATGCATGTGGCACTGCATGCAGTCTGTTTACGTCCTCCTTGTACAATTTCCTAACATGAACAATACTCAGAATAGAAGGACAAGTGCTTCCTTAGAAAGTCAGCATCCTATGAATTAATTAGAGCATGCTTTGTTTTCTTTTTGCTGTTTGACTCTGGTTTCTTTTCTCTACCTGGAAAAGCACCCACAGTCTTCTCTACAAACTAACCCGTCTTCAGTCAATCTTTCCAGTTAAGAATCCTTTATCATACTGGTTATCAAAATCCTTTGATCTACTTTGATCACTAGATCCAAAACTCTTTCAAGGCAGGAAAAAAAAAGTATGTTTCTGAATTTCCCACTGTTAAAAACATGCTAGAAAATCCTTAGTTGGCTGAACTTAATGAATTTTAGTAAGACTGAAGAAGCTTGAAGGTACAAAAACATGATATAAAGCTACAAACATGAAGAAAAAAGTACAGATTGGATTATCAAGCACTATAACCTACCAGCAGCGTCTGTCCTTGGGAAATGAAGAAGTGACCTGATACAACGATGGTGAGAACAAGAGGCCCAGTTTCTTCACTGGATTCAAAGACCTTGAAGAGAGAGAAATGTGAAAGTATTTCTATGATACACATAAAAACAATTCTGAAAACAGACTGCTTCCTCACATTGATGCTCCCATCTGAACCCTCCTTTTCATCTATGCTGTAACTGATTCTCTTATATTTTTAAGCTTCCTTCGCGCGCGCGCGCGCGCGTGTGTGTGCGTGTGTGTGTGTGTGTGTGTGTGTGTGTGTGTGCTGTGTTGCTAAAAAAAACAGAATTAAAAACCAGTATTTCAAAACACAAAGACCTGATTATTAAGAAAGACAGGTCCTGAGCTATACCTTTTCAGATATATGTTAGTAAATCATCTCTTCTACGGGTCTAAATTTCCTTCCTACAAAATGAAGATGACTCTTTCCAGAGTCTAGGAGACCTCAGAGCCGCAGTGTCCTCAGTCAAGTCATCCACCTTCGCCACACCACAACTCACTGCCTTCCTCTCCTGACCTCCCGCGTGCCAGTGTCACTTAAAGCAGGGCCACACCCTCTGGGTATGACCTAGTGATCCCGGGGGGGGGGGGGGGGGGGCTGCGGCCATTCACCTACGTTAACCTTCTCAGGGGTAGGTCCACTGAAGAGTTTGATCTGAAATCACCACCTTATGTTGGTAAACCTTATTCTCTCTTCATCTTGAGCCTAAATAAAAGGCCCTGGATTTACCCCCTTTGTAGATTATCCTGTTAGATTTACTTGGTATATCTTTCCAGACTGCTGAGTTATGGAGAGAAAACTGAGGCACTTAAACTAAAGTGTCAGGGAAAACATGACCAAACACATCTAACAAAGAGATCAATCGGGTCTTAAGGGACTGGATGATTAAAACAAAACAAACAACAAATAACAGTCAGGTAAACAACCTTGTGCAGCAAACTTTAAAGTTTAAATAATATACAAATAACTCTAGCTAGGAATATTTATATAAGGTTCTGCAATCTCTACAGCTTCTTATGTAGTTTTCAGAATTTTAGTTATATAATTAAATTCACAACTTCCCAAGTTCTAATTCATTTTAGATTCCACACTTCAAAATCAAACATTTCAGGTATCAAGAGGGATGCTGTAAACCCTGCCCACTTTCCCTGGAGCTGGAGCAGGGCACTAGTGAGCCACCTGACACGGATGTTGGGATGTGGACGTGGGTCCTCTGGGAGAGTAGTAAGTGCTCTTAACCACTGAGCCATCTCATGAGCCCTAGCCTACACAGTTCCTATGTCCAGCTTCATCAGGGTTGCCGCATATGCACACAGGAACATAGGTGTGAGTAGACATGTACACGCAATTTCATTACTGTAGACTGTCAGTCTACAACTAAGCCATCCTTTTTTCATTTCTGTTAGTGATTTTCCCCAAGTGTAGTTTTTGTGTAAAGTACGGTTATGAATGTTCATGTTAGTCTCTTGTTAGACAGGAATGTTCATTTTAAAGATGTCATTTCCTTTTAAACTACTTTTCAAGTGATGACCATGGACTTTTAGAAGAGTCTGTTGTAGACTTCTCTTTCTCTAACTTAATGCCTACAACTGCCCAGGCAACATCTCTATATAAATGTGTCACAGTGTCACAGACACCTCAAGTTTAACAGTCCAAAACTTGAGTTCCTTATCTTCTCCTACATTACACTGATGTGCTCTGACTGCCACAGTCTTCCTGCCTCATAAAACAAATTATCCTTCCAGTTCATAAGAGACAAACCACAGAATCATCCACCTCTCCTTTTGCAATATCCAAATCCAATCCATCAGTGAACCCTTCATTTCAAAACACACAGAAGCAGACAGTTCTTCTCAGGCCTGGTTGTTTATTGTGACCATTGGCAGCTGGACTACTGTAACAACCTCCTGACTGCCTTCATTTCTCTTCTTGCTTCCTTCTCCAACATGGTTTATTTCTATCTGATAAAGGAGCTAGAGCGATCCTGTAAATACTCAAGTCAAATCTTGAATCTCTAGCTCAAAGCCCTTCAGTGACTTCCCCCTTTCCAAATCCTCATTACCTCTCTGCTCTTCTGTCTGCTCTCTGCCCCTCCACCCTTGTTGCTTCCTGAACCTGTTGGGCTATAACTCTCCATGCTGTCAAGTATTGTGCTAGCCGAGGATCTCTCTTAGATTCCTGCACACTCTTCTCTAAACCTCTGCTTCAGTGTTACCCTCCAGTCCATCCCTCCTCCCCAGCTTTATTTTTCTCCATAGCTCTTACCACTCACCTTAAAAACTACTCTATTGTTATTTACTGTTAGTTGTCTACTCAAGCAAAGTTTAGCCTCCAAGAAGACTGAGGTGGACTGCTGCTACACATCCTATATATCCTAATATCTAGGAGAGTGTCTGACATTTAGGATATATACAGCACTTTTTTCATTGGATAAATAAGTTTGAAATTCCCAAAGAAGGCACCATATTAAAATGCACCATTTTCAAGGGGAACAAAGATGTTTTAGAAGAATTCATCATTAGGAGAACTGCACTAGGGGAAAAGAGTTAAAAGCCATCCTTCAGGCAGTTCAACAAGAGCAGATGGAAACAGATCTCCATAAAGGAGTGCAGAACACTGGAAACAGTCTTCACCTGGGTGGTTATATAGGAATTCCTTATTCACAAATCACTAAAAGCTAATAGCTGACATTATAAAGAATACCCAATCCAAACGAAGGAAGAATAGATAGGAAAAAGTCTGTGGGATGGCTCACTAGGTAAAGGCACTTGCAGCCGAGGTGGGAGACACTAAAGTTCAGTGCCCAGAACTCACAAGGTGGAAAGGCACAAGGTGTCTGGCTTCCACACTCAGTGTGGCACAGCCTCCCCAGTGCCTCCACTCCATCAAGCACAGAAATAAATGCAATAAAAAATTTAAATGTAAGCCAGAAGTAGTGGTGTATGTCTTTAATCCCAGCTCTTGGGAGGCAGGAGCAGGCAGAGTTCTGGGGGTCTGAAGCTAGTCTAGACTATATACTTAGTTCAGGTCAACCAGAGCTCTATAGTGAGAATCTGTCTCCAAAGAATTTTTTTAAAAAAATAAACAAAAATAAGGAATAGATGGGCCAAATAAATAAATACACAACAAATAGCAAATGGCAACTTAACTCTATCAATAACCACAATAAATGTAAATGATTCAAACATCCCAATTAAAGACAAAAACTTTAAAAACATTTTGTCATATATGTTGATCATGGTTTCCTCTCCTTCAGTTACACCCAAATCCTCCCCTTCTCCCTACCCACCCAACTTTATGTTCTTTTTGTTCTCTTTCAAAAAGAACCCTAAAAATCAAACAAGAAAAAGGTCTTAGTTAGGACTGTTATTGCTGTGATAAAACACCATAACCAAAAGCATCTTGAGGAGGAAAGGGTTCATTTGACTTACACTTCTAAAGCATTGTTCATCATCAAGGAAGCCAGGGCAGGAACCTGGAAGCAGAAGATGGGGTGGTGCTTACCAGCTGGCTCCCCATGGCTTTCTCAGCCTGCTTCTCTCTCTCTCTCTCTCTCTCTCTCTCTCTCTCTCTCTCTCTCTCTCTCTCTCTCTCTCTCTCTCTCTCTCTCCATCCATTTCTTCTCTCATACATTACATCCCCATCAAAGTTTCTCCTCCCTCTACTTCTCCCAGTGCTCCTTCTAACTGCCCCTCTCTCCAGATCCACTCTTGTTTCTCTTCAAAAAAATTTTCTTCAGAAGGTGGAAGTTCTTGGCTACCTTTATTACCATGTTCTCCAGGTACTCTGGCAGACTCAAACCGCTGGCTGGTTGGCTGGAAGAAGTGGGGGCTTCTTTGTGCTTAGAGTCTGAGAGCTCTCCACCCATAATTTGAATTGTTCACAGCTTTATATTCACTTTCAACCATGTTGTCAGGATCTGCTTGTTCAATGGCTTCTTCAAAGAACTCCTCCAAAGTTAGCATGTCTTCTCCTTTCTCTGATTTTCAGGCTTCCATATTATCAAGACAGAGATTCCAAAGTCTTGTTAGCTCCTCATTTCCAATCAGGATTTTCTTGTTGGGCCCTTTGCCTAAGAAGTCTTCTGGGGGTGCTCTCTTCTGTACCACTCTTGTGGGCTTGGTGTCTGATACTCTTTCTTTCACAAAACTTGGGTAAACAATAAACACTTTCATAACAAAAAAAGAGAGAAAAGAACAGGTCTCCCAATGACATCAACTGAACATGGCATAAAAATTACAGTAAGACTAGGCACAAACCCTCATATCAAGACTTGACAAGGGAACCCAGTAGGAGGAAAGGGTCCCAAGCATAGGCAAAAGAGTCAGAGACACTCTTCACTCCCACTTTTAGGAGTCCCACAAGAACACCAATCTACACAACCATAACTTAGTATTATGTAGAGGACCCAGCTCAGACCCATAGAGGGCCTGTGATAATCCCATCCATCTCTATGAGCCCCTATGAGGCCTGCTTAGTTGATTATGTGGGCCATGTTCTCATGGTGTCCTTGAATCATCTGGCTCCTACAATCCTTTCTCCCCCTCTTCCATGGGGTTCCCCTGGCTCTGCCTAGTGCTAGCTGTGGGTCTCTGCTTTCTTACAGAACCCAGAACCACCAGCTCAGAGACAGTACCATCCACAATGGACTGTGCATTCCTCTCTCAATCACTAATTAAGAAAATCCCCTACAGGCTTGCCTACAGCCCCATCTAATGGAGACAGTTTCTTAATTGAGGTTCCATCCTCTTAGATGACTTTAGCTCCTGTCAAGTTGACATAAACTATCCCGCACAATTGACCCCTTGTCAACCTGACACACAAACACATTATTGATAAGCCACCTTTCCTTTCTTGTTCACCTCTAAGATCACATATAATATCATTAATACCAATATTACAATATAAAACATTTTACAAACTTAACTCCCACAGTCTTTACAGATTAAAAACTTTAAAACTCAGTCTCTTTAAAAATTCAAAGTCTCACTGGGTGGTGGTGGCTCACACCGTTAGTCCCAGCACTTGGGAGACTGAGGCAGGTGGATCTCTGTGAG